AAATGTAAAATGGTACTGTAAAAGAATTTACCAAATCCAGTTTCCTATGGTCCTGACTATATCAACTACACAGGGTCATTATGTCCTTTGGCTAACATGCTGAGAACATCATCTTCTTAATTATCAATGATTTGCTGATAAGATTTCAACGATGTAAAGTGCACAGCATGTAAAATAAAATAGCTGCTTAATCCATGTTTTTAGCTATAACTTACAATAACCACAATCTGCCTACCCTATGGATCAAATATCTGCTCCTTTGCTAAAACAGATACATACATAATACATAGTGTATACAGATATATATACTGTCCCCAAATTTTTTTTGTTCATTAGCTATCTGTGAATTTAGACTAATAATTAGCAACACACTATCAAAGTAAATGTAATAAAACTACATGCAGATTAGCTTTCCTTTCTTATAAAACAAAGCAATTCATAGATGTTTGCTGAAACATTTATTTTGTTCCTCTCCAATTCTTCACTATAATACGGGACTAGGTAGGCAAGGTAGACTCCAGTCAGGAAAGTTTCAAAGCCACTAAGTCTTACAGGCTTTCATTATCATGTCTCTGGTGGCCTCAGAAGAGATCTTCTGCAAGGCCCCTTTAGTCTGGCAACTAAGTAGATGAATTGCAATTCTCAGAATATACACAATAATAAGGCTCTTTCTAGTTCTGCCCTTTTCAATTATAGGCTTTATTACAGACTACAATACACACAATGGTATATGTTACTACAATCCCCACAGCTAATACTACCATCCCCACCACACACACAGAAACCCACTATTTGATTAGCAAAAATTAAGAAACCTCATGGTTCTAGCATTGAGAGAACATGAAGTAACTTGAATTCAAACACTGCTTGTGGGACTGTAAATTGGTACAACCACTCTAGAAAACAATTTGGTATTACCTACTAAAGCTGAAAATGTACCTACAGTCCTTTATCTAGTCTCTCAAGACAAGTACACCAGGAGACATGTACAAGCATATTCAAAGTTGTATTTTTCATAACACCAAAAATACAAACAACCCAAATGCTGATTCAAAGAAGACTGTGGTATATTCACATAGTAGGATTTTACACACCAGTGAAAAACTAATGAAGTACAGTTAAACACAAAATGGATGAATATTGTGTTAGTCACACAATATCATAGCAGTTATGGCAAACTATGCAATTAACTACTATATTAATAAAGTTTACAATAAGCAAAATTAAACATGTTATTATTTAGGGAAATACACATACAGTTATAAAAAGAAAAAACAAACACAAAATCCAGTATAGTTGGGGTCAGAGAAGTGGACCAAAGAGTACACTGATAGTTTCAACAGGATTGCTTAAATTACATTTCTTCAATTGGGTAGTAAACTCATTAGTTCCATTTTTAAGCTTTAAAATATATATATGTCTGTGTGTTGAGCATGTATTATCTTGAATCTCTAGAGAACTAACATTCCAGCTACAGGACAAGAGTAGTCCATTCTTTAACATGACATTCCTGGTAATTGGGAATGATGCCAAGAAATAAAATCACTCTATTGCTATTTGGTAACTTTTGTAATAATAAAGTAATTACAGGTGCCTCCAAATAAATGGAAGGATATACCATGATCATGGATTGGGAGAATTAATACTGTTAAAATGACCATACTATTCAAAGCAATTTACAGATTCAGCAATTCCTATCAAAATACCAATGTCACTCTTCTCAGAGCTAGAATAAATAACCCTAAAATCTAAATGGAACCACAAAAGATCCCAAATAACCAAAGCAATCTTGAGAAAGAAGAACAAAGTTGGAGGTATCAAGCTCCCTGATCTCAAACTATACTACAAAGCTATAATAAACAGTATGGTACTGGCACAAAAACAGACACACAGACCAATGGAACAGAATAGAGAGCCCAGAAATAAACCTTCACTTATATGTTTAACTAATCTATTACAAAGGAAGTAAAAATATACACTGGAACAATGACCATCTTCTTCAACAAGTAGTGTTGGGAAAAGTAGACAGATACATGCAAAAAACAGAAACTGGACCACTGTCTTATACCATATACAAAAGTAAACTCAAAATGGGTTAAAGACTTAAATGTAAGACCCCAAACCATAAAACACCTAGAAGAAAACATAGGAAGTAAACTATCTGACATCAGTTTAAGTAATATCTTTTTGGACGTGTCCCCTCAAGCAAAGGAAGCAAAAGCAAAAATAAACACATAGGACTACATCAAACTAGCTTTTGCATGGCAAAGGAAACCTTCAACGAAACAAAAAGGCAACCCACTGAATATGAGAATATATTTGCAAATGATATATGTGATAGGGGTTGTATTCAAAATATGTAAGAAACTCACACAACTCAATAACAAAAAAAATTACACAATCCAATCGAAAAATGGGCAGAGGACATGAAAAGACATTTCTCCAAAGAAGACATACAGATGGCCAACAGACATATGAAAAGATGCTCAACATCACTAATCATCAGGGAAATGCAAATCAAAACCACAATGAGATATTACCTCACACCAGTCAGAATGGCTATTATCAAAAAGTCAACATGTGTTGGTGAGGATACGAAGAAAAGGGAACCCTTGTGCATTGTTGGTGGAACTGCGAACTGGTACAGCTCGTATGGAAAACAGTATGGCGATTCCTCAAAAAACTAAAAATGGATATACCATATGACCCAGCAATTCCACTTCTGGATATTTATTATCCAAAGAAAACAAAAAAACTAATTTGAAAAGATATACACATCTCTATGTTCACTGCAGCATTAGTTACAACAGCCAATATATGGAAGCAACTTAGATGTCCCTCAATAGATAAATGGACAAACAAGATGTGGTGTGTACACACACACACACACACACACACACACACACACACTGGAATATTATGCAGCAATAAAAAAGAATGAAACCTTGCTATTTGCGACAACATGGATCAATCTAGAGGATATTATACTAAGTGAAATAAGTCAGGCAGAGAAAGACAAATACCGTATGGTTTCATTTAGATGTGGAATCTAAAAACAAAACAAAACAAAAACAGACTCATACAAACAGAGACCAAAGGGGTGGTTAGCAGAAGGGAGGTGGTGGAGGCTTGGGTGAAAAGGGGACGAGGGATATAGTCAATAATATTGTGATAAGTTTGCAAGGTGACAGATGATTACTAGAATTAGTGGGATGATCACATTGTACAGTATAAAAATGTCAAATAACTATATTTGTACACCTGAAACTAATATAACCAATATAAGATTGTATACCACCTATACTTATATAAATATTTTTTAAAAATAAAATCATTAAAAAAAACCAGACATTAGAGATGTCTCAAGAAATTCAAATAAGAGGTGGGCAAGGGAAGTCAGGGTGACTATAAAAGGGCAAAATGAGAGATCCTTGTAGTGGTGGAAGTTGTTCTGCATCTTGACTGTATAAAAGTCAATATTCTGCTTGTGATATAATACTATAGTTGTACAAGACGTTAGTTACCACTGGGAGAAACTGGTTAAAGGGTACATTGGATCTCTCTGTATTATTTCTTCCAACTGCATATGAATCTATAGTTATCTCAAAATAAAAGTTTAATAAAAATAATCTATCTATATATATATAGATAGATAGATAATTTTTGTCCAGGGTTTCTCCACCTTGGTACTACTGACATTTTGGGGTACATCAGTCTTCATTGTTGGGGCCTGTCCTGGGCATTGTAAGGTGTTTAACAGCATCCCTGGCCTCTACCCACTAAATGCCAATAGCATATCTCAGTTGTGACAACATCTCCATACACTGCCAAACGTTCCCTAGAGGGCAAAACTGCTCCATTTGAGAACCACTGCTCCAGTCACAACAGTGAAGAAGAGCTGTGGAAATGTTCCCAATGGAAGGAGACTAAAGAAACATGACAACTAAATGCCAATACCTGATCCTAGGCTGGATCCTGGTACCAGAAGAGGAAAGAATGCTATAAAGAACATTATTGGGTCAATTAACAAAATTGGAATATCAATAACAGATTAAAGCATATAGCAATATTAAATTTGCTTAAGGTGATTACTGTAATTATTTCAATAATATTCCTATGCTTAGGAAATACACAATGAAGTATTTAGAGATAAAGGACCATAATGTATACAATCTATCCTCAAATGGTTCAGAAAAAAATATGTGTCTGTGTGTGTATATTTTATATATACATGTGAATAATGTGTGTATATGTGTGTGTATATATATATATATACATACATATATATATATAAAAAATAGGTGAATCCGATTAAAGGGTATACAAGTGTGTTCATTGTACTATTTTGATTTTTGCAACTTTTAAGAATGTTTGAAATTATTTACAAATAAAAAGGTGTTTTTTTTGTGTGTGTTTTTTTTAAGTGGAAGCAAAAGTTGTTCTTCAAATTCTAATGGCAGGTTTCACAGCAGTCTCAGCATAAGGGATAAAAATCCCAAGAGGATAATGACTAGTGACTGGATCAATTCTGACTTCAAGCCTGGGACATGCATTGACAAGAACTGTCTACTTTCAGTCTATCTCCCCTCTCCCCATTCTTTCTAGAGGTAGCCTCTTCAATAGTGTGGAACCGAAAATTAATCCATCCCGCTTTAAAAATAAAATTTCTACAAAGTGACTCAAACCCACATCCCTACTCAATTTCTCCACAAATCACTGAGGCATCTTCACCATCAATAATTAAGCAAAAACGTGAAAAGCGTACACGTGTTTCTCAAAAGAAAACCACTTATCCGCTAAGCTAAGCAAATCGAGGAAGAATGTTCAAGTGAGTGAACTAGAAAAGAGGCAACATTGAATGCCTAGGAGGGCTGAGAAAAGGAAGGGGGTAAAAAGAGATCAGCAGAGAGCCATTCTGAGTTAGGCAAGAAGTATGTGTCGGCCAGGAAAAAGGACTCGAGTGGGTGCGAGTGTGTCAGGGGGAAAGGGAGTTAGCTCACCTGGCTGTGGTAAGCAGAGGGTGCTGAGTCCCCACCAGCTTCCGCACCTGCATAGCGATGTTGCTGAGCTCGTCGCTCAGCAGGCAGCGGAGGCTCATGAAGGACGTGGGGTAGCCCACGATCTTCTCCGCCTCTGACACCACTTGGTTCCAGTGAGCCGGGGACCTGGAGGACTGACCACGCCAGGAGCCCACCGAGAAGATGCTGCCGAGGGACGGGGACCACCAAAGGCGCCGCGAGGGACCCGAGGCCCCGAGATAACGGGGCAAGCCCAACAGCAGCTGCGGAAGGTTCATAGTTTGAGTCTGAGAGTGTCAGGGACTTCAGTGTCCGGAGGTAGCGCGGGGAACAACCAGGGACAGAGGAGGAAGTTGCAGGGACTAGAAGGAAGCGGCGACTCCGGATCCTCAGAGGAGGATAGATTCCTGGAACTGTGACCAGAAACGAATTTTAACTGCAGCTTTCTGAAGTCGATCTAGATAGACAACCACCCTAGCTCAGTACTGCCCCCGACCAGCTGGGGCAGAAACAACCGCCGCTGCCTAAATGGGGGACGCCATATTTGGAGGCGTGGAATGCGACCTGCCGTAAAGATGGAGGCGGGCTGTTCTGGAGCAGATTGTTCTCTACTTTACGGCACAGCCGTGAAAGCACCGAGGAGGCGGGGCTTTAGAGTTGAGCCCAGGAAGGCGAGGCTGTGTAAAAGCGTCAGCTTCTCCCACCCCTGATCCAGGCTGTGAGGTTAGATGGTGGAAGGGATTCTGGGGTGGGCGCCGCGTCATGCTCCAGCGCCTGGAGTCTGGGCCGATTCTGATTCATCAGAGCATTCCTAGCGCCCAGCACAGAGTGGGCACGCATAAACATTTGTGCCATGAACGAAGGTCGGTGTCTACCAAGTGTTTTGCTGTTTCCAGCCCGCCTGGTCGGCCAGCTCTTCTGGAAAGCCTCTTGTAGCTAGCTAATCCTCTGCCAGCCACTGGCGATGGTAGTGGACGGGAGTGATGGCGACCTTTTGGGCTGCAGGACTTTAGGAGCTGTGGGCCATGGTTCATTTGTGGTGGGGGCACAAAGTCCATGTGTGGGGCAGAGCTCTCTTGCCCTCAGATCCCAACCAGACGGAAGGTGGCATGGCCGGGCGTAAAGCGTTCTTTTTCCGTAGGCATGTCCTCGGTCCTTGCCTGAGTCCGGCTTTCTCGCTGAGCTTCGGTTTCCCCCTGTGTACAGCCTAGGCAGAAGCAACCGTACTTCCGTGCAGAGAGGGAGATAATATTAGTATTCTCCATAGGAGGAAACAGGTACAGCCAAGTAGTGTAAATTGCAAAAGGTCACATAGGGCAGGGATGTGAACCCAGGCCAGGCAATCTGATTTCTGAATCCATGCTCTTAAGCACATTACACTGTCTCTCTAACAGGCTGCCGTCCGTTCTTTTCTCCTTATTGCTGTCAATGTGGTTCTCTTGTCCATAATGCTACTCATTCTTTTTTCAAATATGTGTAGAATCCTTTCGCATCACCCAAGTGTTGGAACCCTTGTTAATAAAGGCTGTATTGTGCAGTTTTACACTCTTAAAAATAGTTTGTGAAACTCTCAACTTTCAAAGTCCTTTCAAATTCATGATTGATATGTTTTAAATTAGCATCATGCATAATACTGAACTGGACTCAGGCTACATAAAAAATCGGACTTAAAAAGGGCAAATTAAAGAGTAATTATTCATTTTGCAAAAAAAAAAAAGATGCTTTTCTCTGCAAAAGGTTTAGCCTCAGACTCCCTTTAAATGGCAAATTTCCCTTGTGATTTAAAATCCAATTTTATTGCCAAAAATTCAATTTAGGCATAACTTTTCAGGGATACATTTTAGATAAAGTGGATTTTGCTCATAAGTATTAAACACAGTCTATGCCCACAAAATAAGTAAGGCAAGCTAAAGTTCAAAAATAATTCCTTTGAAAGAGATAACAAACTCCTGGCAATAAAATTCAGGTCTGTTCTAGATGAAAATAAGTGTGGAGAGTGAGATACCTTACCATTCCAAAAAGTTCCAAGGCCTGAGCTTCTGGGTTATCCAAGGTGAAAGAAGTCATGAAAAAAAAAAGAGAGAGCGATAAAGGCTGAATGTGATATATTGTGCACCTGAGGCTGTTTCTTCAGACTCGTGATACCTTAAGAATAACTTCTCATGCAGTTTCCTTAATACCAATTCACAGCATGTACTTTAATTTCTCCACAGAAGCCTAGCGCATTACTCTCTGGTCATACTCTATTAACCAAGTTTTTGATTATTCATGGGACTTTCGGTCCCATTTATTTAAAATAATCAGCACTTTCCTTTATACTTACAGTTAAAAGGTTGCATTACACCTAATGATAATCAGTTTTTAGAAGGTTAAAATGGTATTTGTTCTTTAATCTTCCAGATAAATATGGAACTCCTCAGAGTCTTTCTGACTAAAGAGATTTCTGAATGGCTGGTGACTTTTAGAGGTGCAGGGAGTGGTAGTATCTGTGATTCTGCTCTTCCTCTGCCACTGACGATACTCATTTTGAGGATGTCTGTGAATGTGTGCATAAAGAAAGAGTACAGAAGGATCTCTGAGCCTTGGCATCATTGATATTTTGGACCAGATAATTCTTCGCTGTGTATGTGGGTGGTGGGGACTGTCCTGTGCCTGGTGGGATGATTAGCAGCATCCTTTGACCCTACTCGCCAGATGCCAGCAGTACCTCTCCCCAAGTTGTGGCAACCAGATTTGTCTCAGGACATTGTCAAATATCTCCTGGGGGGCAGAATCACCCATGAGGGTACAGGAAAATGGGAGAAGCTGAAATAAAAAAATAATTTCCATTCACAACATTTACTCCTCCAAAGCAGTAAAAGAAGAGGTCTTGGGTGCGGGCGGCCCTGCTGGTTAAAGAGTGGTCACCCCACAATCTGGAGATCTCCAGCCAAATATAGACACATCTTCGGCTTGGTGTTGGGTTTGTTCTGGAGACAGCAGGCTGACAAAAGATGGTCACATTTCCTCCTCCACCTTTCTCAGGATCCTGAGCTGGTAAAGTACCAGTGGACTTCACTTACTGTCCTCTCGCTACATTCGGCTGACCTTAGAAACAAGTGAGGTCACATTTGATGTCTTTTTCTTTTTTTGCTGGAAACCCGAACCAGCCTTTGGAAATACAAGGTCTTAACAAGGATGGTGTATGCTTGGGCCTTTGACATTTCCATGATTAGGTGAGTGGAAATAGGGACACTGCAGCCACCCTATCACCCTCAACACAATCACCTATTGTTTATGCTAAGAGAGTTCTTCCAAAAGCTGGTGAAAGCATCGTGGTATATCTTGGGGCAGAATGATAAAAGGAGGGAAGTAATCAGATTAGCAAAAATCCAAAAGTTTGACCACCTACTGGGTTGGCAGGCTGTGGAGAACAGGAAGGGTACATATTGCCAGTGAGAATGCAAAATGGTACATAGCACCTATGGAAGGAAATGTGAGAATCCTTAGTAAAAAATTATTATTATTATTATTATATATATGTGTATATATATACGTATGTGTATATATATGTGTGTGTGTGCGTGTGATCTGTAAATCCCAATTCTAGGTATCTTTCCCAAAATATAAATGACTTCTGCACAAGGTTATTCATTGCAGTATTATTTGTAATAGCAAAAGATTGGAAACAAGCCAAATAACCACAAGTAGGGGACTGGCTGAATAAACGAGAGTAGATCCATACAATGAAACACACTGTGCAACTGTGAAAATTAATGAGGGCCATCTCTTCACTCTGATGTGGAATGATCTACACAATACATGTTAAAACAAAAAACAAAAACCCAAGGTGCAGAACAGTATAGTATGCTTTTTTTTTATAAGATAGGTAAGCTGTAAACATATTTGCATATATTTGGGATGGGAAGAAACAAGTGGAGGAGACAGGTATGGAAACAGATTACTCTGAATACACCTTGACTATATAGTTTTGACTTTAGAATCATGTATATATTTTACATATTTAAAATAATTTTAAATTCGAAAGAAAAATGTAATTCCTAAAATTTGAAAAAACTGAAGCAAATGACCTAGCTATATATTAAGTTGGTGGTATAACCACACCAGGTAAACAAAGGGCTTTAGAAAATAGTGTTTTCACTGTACATTCGTAGTGGAATATACTCTCAGGATAAATAGACCTACAAAGAAATCTTAAACTTCATTCAGAGGTCTTACTGCTAGTAAAAAATGTAGGTATGATTACTTTCAAACTATTCTTGTATATTATAGGTTAAAAATATTAGAGTTGTTAGGAATGATGATTTTCAGAGTAAATAGAATCCTTGTAATAGTAAAGGTGAATGGGAAATAATATGAACTTATGATTTTCTTTAAAAAAATATGTTCCTTATATCCCAATTAGAAAACTTTTACATTTATTGGAAAAAATGTATATATACTTGCTTTGCCCCTTGAAAAGGACTCAAGGTAATAATCTTGTAGCAGTCTTTAGCATTCATATTGTACTTTCAATACATCATTCCTTATTAAAAGGAACAAGGCTCTTTAGAGGAACAGCAACTGTCAGGTCTGGGGCAAGAAATGTGCATGATGAGCCTGAAACATGCTGTTGTGCCAGAAATCAAGGAAGCTATTGAAGCCTAAAATCTAATGCGACAGGTCAAAGGGACAAAGGGATCAGCATAAAGAAGCTCCCTCTGGCAGAAAAGGGGACAATTTGAGCATCAAAAAAGAGGAAGAACTACAACTGATTGAAATATATGGATGACAGATAAATCCTTGCGTTTATTGTTAGACATAACTAGGGCAATACTCTGAATATTTGCAATATAATGAAAGAATTAAGTACTTATCCTTACTTTCCTGTGTGAATTATATTTGGTGGTGTTTTCACCTGGCTTATACCCTTGAAAGCTGAACCTGAGACAAGGGCTTACTTTTCGGTAGTTTATTTTGGACAGAGATCTCAGGAAACAGCAGTGAATGACTAGGGAGAGTGAAACAGATACAAGAGTGTTCTCGAGTTAGTCATCACTGTGGGCAAAGAGGCCTTGAGCCTGCTAGGACTCTGATTTGCCATGGAGAATATACTTCATAATTGTCAGCTCGATGCAAGAGAGGAACAGTTAGTTACCAGCTCCCATCTTCCATTGGTCCAACTTTCCTCCTTGGGGCCTTAGCGCCCTGACACATCTATCTAAGCTGCTCTGTGGGTACTAGGCAGATATCCCATCCTCATGGAGTCAGAGGAACTCAGGGGGGAAATGTGAGATGTATGTGATGCATCTGAGGAGAGATGCTGTTAGGCTACACCTGCAGGAAGCAGGCTGCCTCAGCAATGGCTGGAGTAAGAGGCAGCCCAGAGGATACCAAACGGGGAACATCTCTTCTAATGGGGTAACCAAACAACCCAGGCTGATGAGGGAAAGTTCTTCCTGATAATTGCATGTAATAAAAGAGAAAAAAAAAGACAATTAGAAAATCACCATATTGTCATTCCTTATGAAATAGTTGATCCAGGCAACAATGATCCATAGGTTAGAGGCTGATGGGGGAC